GCCGCGCCGATTATTCGAAAGCAGCGTCTTATCTATTCGCAGCCTCTCAGTGCTCTTTTTCGAGCGAAACTAGCGTTCCCCTACCTCATGCATCCTGTGTCTACGACCGAGCAGACGACTGTTTAGTCCACAAGGAGATACAGACACTTATGAAGGAATACTCCACACACTTGGTCACCGGCGCCTAATCATATCAAATGAGCTTTCACTAAGTTGCCATTAATCCTCCGTTTTGTTATGCGCAATTATTAGATTATGCATCCTGTACAGAAAAGAGATTTTGCCTAACTAGCTTTGATTCCTAAAAAATATATAAGTTTGAATTTTTAGCTGTCAATAAAATAAGGAGCATTTTCTTCCGCTCTACCAATGTTTAAACAATGGGAATAATAGAGAAATAATCGAGTTGTAACAGTACCTATAGACACCCGCGTCTGTGGACTGGTTTGGAATAGCTTGTTAGCTATCCGAGAAGGGTACGCTGGGCAGTAATTGACTAGTCGGGAAGGGATCAAAAATATACTCCGCATAAAAATTCCCATACCCTTCGTGGCCATGAATTCTACATTCCATTACTAATCACAACAACAAGAGGCCGAGTGCCATGGCTGCGTTTACACTGACCGCTTGTAAAGCATGAAGTCAGCATATTTTATGAGTACTAGTCACCTCAAAGCAGTATCGACTGATAATTGAGTTTCATGCACTGAAACGAACAAAGCCCCACAGTGCCGTTCTAATTCCAGCTAGCTGTATCGCCTGAGCCTCGTTACCATGAAGGTATTGACGAAGTTATGAAAGACTATCGTGAGCATGAAGTAGTAGTAGTATAAAGTTACTACTCGATCACATGGAACCACCGTCACAGGAAAAGCGTGTTCCCCGATGCAAACCAGGCTTCCTTATTCAGAATTCATAGTAAATCTGGCGTAGGCAAAGCAATCTTGTACTTACTAACTAAGTCGACAGCCCCACTTGACACATGATGTGTAGGTTTACCAAGCTATCAAAGATCCTTTGTAATGACTAAAGATCAGCTGAACAATTATAATGCATCACCTTAGGCGATCTAAGGTGAGTAGTGTTATAATGTTTCCGAAATTGCAATACATAGGCCACACTTCAGTTTCAGAGCGAGATTATTGGACAGCATTTTTAAGAAAGGATATAAACGACGGTTTATTTACAAGATAATGAAATACAGGTTTAACGGACTTTTTTGTATATTTTAGACTTCCTTGCCATGGCCTCAGATTGAAATGATGGTTTGTACCTTTTTCTGCCTGTAAAATTTGCTTGTTTTGACGCATGCACATTTAAATCGACCATAGGGACAATAGAAAGACCAAAGTTTTTTGCGACAGCACTGAGGTCGAGCTGGCCCACATTAAAGCAAGCTAAGCTAGATGAGGCATAGGCTCGGACAAGGCTTTTGAACGCTTCTTGGGCAGACAAACTAAGAAAATAATTTGAAGAAACCAATTTTTCAAGAGCAGGTTGTACATCAGCAAGTTTTGAAGTCGCAACCTCGTACTCCACTACCTTGACTCGCGAAGTTTTTAAAATGCCCAAAAATTCGAGCTCGTGGGGCCGGAGTACAAGCAGAGCACTCCCAACTTGTCCTGCCCGAGCTGTACGACCGACACGGTGTATGTACTCTTTTGCATCATCAGGGGGATCATACTGAAGAATCCAGTCAATCTAGTCATTAGAAAAATAAGTAAAGGCAAACATGAAGAAAAGTTTATTTTTAAAGTATCTTCTAATAATTTGATGCCAAAAGATCTATCTTATTTAAGACAAAGTCAATGAGAAGAAATTTGTAGACAAACACCACAGCCATATAGTTGTGAATACTG